AGAAGTATGAGCCAGAAAGCAAACTGAACCGCCCCCTCCCACGCAGCCAACGTAGTCCAAGGAAAGAACGGAGAGGCGAAGCCTACTCCACGCTGTCGATTCGAATGATTGGGGACAAGTCGAGCCTCTCGAGAACTCTGTCTTGAGCAGGAATCAGAGAAGTATGAGCTAGAAAGCAAACTGAACCGCCCCCTCCCACGCAGCCAACGTAGTCCAAGGAAAGAACGGAGAGGCGAAGCCTACTCCACGCTGTCGATTCGAATGATTGGGGACAAGTCGCTCTAGTCTGGCATGTGATGATGAAGGTGGTTTGCCTGCAGCCCGTGATCACCAAGACCCCTCACCTCTTCAAAACCACAGGACATCCTTCCCATCCACCCGGCGTTGATTAGCCCAGGCCTGGCTGGCGTCGTCAGCTGAGAGCTGCTCAACCAGGCAAAAGCAATCCGTTTCAGGAAAAGAAGCAGACCTCAAACTGCCAGTTGTCATCTTTGCCCTGCCCAAGTGCTGGTCCGACACAACCAAAAACACTTCTGCCCATTGCCCCTTCTGGGTCCTCGGATGGACTTGTCCAACCGGAGGAGCACAGTGACCTTGCGAACGTACACGGTGATGTCCACAAAGTCACCCACGTGCAGCTCCGCAGAGCACCACTCATTTGGGTCTCCGGTTGGAGATATCCAGGCCCCCGGGATCTGGCCAAAAATTCTGCACCGGCACAGATGAAAAACTTAAATGACCGCATGTGCAAGAAGCACCCATACAGGCGTCAAATGAGAGGAATTAGTGGGATATAGTGATATAGATGTTGCGCTGGAATATATAAGGTTTTGATGGTTGAGGGTTTTTCAATGGCAGCAACATCACGCATTTCAGGGCCCATAATTGCGCCTACATAATTCTCAGCTTTGCTAAAGCAAAAGTCTGGTTGCATTGCGCAGCGGCTCTTTTTTTATTGGGTGTTGCGTCGCTTCTTCCTTCATTTCCTGGCCCCTAAAAACTAAGCTCATGCCATCAACAACAGCAAAGGCGAACATGAAGATCATCGAAGCGGAGCAACGAAACATTGGCTTCAGCTCTCTAGATACTCTAGTTCAAGCCTCATATCCTAACAAGAAGCCACATTCCCAAGAGGTCTGTGGATAACAGCGTTGGTTGTTGCCAGCGGCTTCATGGCCTTAGGGTTCTCAAAAAAAACCAAGCTTCCTAGCTTTGCCCTTGATACATCATCTCATCGAATCAAGAAATAATCTGCACATTGCAGGAGGCAGGCTCTGGCGCATGCATGTCTTTAAAGGTCCAACTAGACGACCCAGCGTTTGCTTGGGAGCCTGAAGGCAATTCTCAGGCGTTGAGCCGCATAAAAGTGGTATTCATCCGACATTCAGCCATCAAGCAAGCACCAATGAATAGAATGAAACAGAATGAGTATGCCAGCCCCATGTGTTCAGGGTCATACTAGATGCTCACACGTTTCAGGTTCCAGAGGTAGCCCCAGCCTCAGCGACGCTTGATCTGGCGACTGCCTGGGACACATGGGACACCACGAAATCACCGCATGGCTGTGGGATCTTGCCTGCAAGCGTGTCCTACTTCGGACACAATCCAGATAATCTGCAGCCCAAGACACCCTGCTAAGGCTGCGAGAAGAACCGCCGCGTGCCCCAACGACACGTCCCTGGCCAACTGGCCAAAGCCACGAAAAGCATCATAATTTGAATTAGAATGTTATACCAAATCTTGTGCAATCCTACCTCCGTCACGATGCGGCACAAGATCTTCAAATCTTGGCCAGTCCGCTTCAAACTGCTTTGCTTAGAGAAGGCTTGAAAAACATCTCGCTTGCTCTGGATGGATGAAAGAATGCTTCCGCCTTCCTCGGCACTTGTCCAGTGCATCAGCAGCATCCGCACCGGCCTCTCTCATACCCAGCAGACTTTAACGTCTTTTCTGAAGCTCTAGCTGATACCCAATCCTGAAATCCTTAGGAGACACTGCCGAGAAGCTGCCAAGTTGATGATATGTGGCAGATTGTGGCAGCCACTGCGCTTACTACTGGAGCGAGACAGGAGGCCAAGGGCACCACAACCGCACAGCAGGAGAGCTGTAGGTAGGACGTATGGGCTTAAGAAGTGGCAGGTCACCTCCACAAGCCAAACGGCACAGTCCAACTGCCCGGCAGTAGCCGCCACTTCCAAGGGCCTTAGAAAACAAGACAACACAGAAAGCAGTCGGTGGAAACCAAACCGCTTGTGCCTCAAGTTGAGAGACATAGAGAGAGAGAGAGAGAGAGATATATAGAGTCTACGTTCCCGTGCTTCTTCTTGCCTGCCCCCGTTTCTGATGATGCCAGTACCAGGCGCCCGTGGTTTTGGCTGTCGTGGGCCAGCGACACTGCCACGCCGTACGCTTCAGCAGACAGGAAGCGCCTCTTGAAAGACGTGAAATCTCTTGAGGAAGCTAGGCTCCAAGAGCCTGATTTGCTGGAGCCTTGCTGTGAGCTACGCTGAAGGCTACGCTGAAACCTACAGAAGCTCGGCCTGAGATCCTCGACTCGGCCTTCTGCTGCAGCAGCACAGATCGGGTCCAGCGGGCGCGTGCAAATAGGGCTGCCCTCAGAAGCAAAGAAACAAAGACACACCTTGTGAGAGCCTTTGGGTAGCACCAGGAGGCCACTAAATCAAGGGATGAAGGACTATTCAACATCAGGAGAACACTTCCAAAACAGTGCACACAGACTCAAAGTCGTCTTTGAACTAGAACCTGCTTAAGCTGCTTGGTCCAGTTGTCGCACCTCGCCTTGGGCCGAATAAGGGGTCCAAGATCTGGGTGGTCCAGCAGAATCCAGCCCAACACGGCGGTCCTTAGCTTCCCACATCAGAACTCGATGGAATGAGGATAGCCCAGTATCTTGCCTCTGCTCACGGCAGCGTCGCCATAGTCTTGAGTCCTGGGTCTCAGCAGAATCCGACCCCAAAGCGCTTTGCAGCAGTCTACTTCTTGCATATGCGCACAAGTCTGCACAGCAGGCGGCATCCCAGCAGAACACTTCGACGTCAGTACCTGCGCATGAATTAAATAGTTGTTATATGGAGGTTATATAGGGGTTATAATATAAGGGCTATATAAGGATCACTCAGTTTGCCTGCTTCCCACGGCCTCGTCGCAGGGAGCTCACAGCCGCGGCACCCATCGATGGGCCCTCGCGCACCGCCACTCGCTCAGCAACCACCTGGCACTTCAAGTCAAACTTCCGGCTTAGCGCAAAAAAAACAGCATGTCGTTTGTCATCAGCTTAGGACGTTAAACAACCCAAGGTCTTAACGTCATCCCGCTGCTATCCTGATACGATCACGGAGCACCGGGCCCGTGTTTCAAGTTCCTCCTTGTGAATATGAAGCTCCAGGATGACGCAGGTCCATGCTCAGTCAATGAGAAATCTCACAAAGTGCAAGATTTGCAAACGTCTGCTCCTCCTTAGCCTATCTGAAGTCAGCAAAACACAGTACCATCACTTGTGCAATCCACCTGGCAAAAAGGCCTATGACTTTACATCAACGAGCCATGGCACATAGTACCACGATCCAGGGCCCAATGCTTCAGCACAAGCATCCTGACGGGTGACTCGCCCAGCTTTCAGCGCGATGGCGGGCTCAGGATTCTGCCACCCAAGCACCAAGAAAGCTGTATCCAGGATACTTTCACACCGCAACCTGCTGAAGCTACCCAGTCCTGCTCAGCCTCCGTGACGGGCCGGAACATGCTGGGTACCTGGAAACATGCGGTTCAAGGAGGCAGCAGCCGCCAAATGCTGCGCCATGCAAAGCACACTTTTGCCTTAAGCCTTGCGCCTCTCACGATGTCTAACCGAAAAACAGGTCTTTCAGCACCAGCCTTCAGTGTGCCCAGTCGCGTCTGGCCCTCCACGGTCTGGCCCTGCAGAACCCGAATAAGGCCGAGGAGTGGGTGAAAAGCGGGCATCCGACGTGCTTACGCCTGACGGGTGCTGCACAACATAGCCTGTGGCCTCGTCATCGGAATCCTGGCGTGGCGGAGCTGCGGGAAGCACCTGTCATGCCAGCGGTTTGCAGTGCAGATGGCTTAATGGATTCTTGAACGCGGTGAAGGTAGATGACATCCAAAGACCACGCATGGACGAGACAGCCGCACGCCACCTGGAGGACTTGGGCACCATCCACGCAGACCTGGGTAGTACATGCGAGTTAGCCTCTAAGGCCTTGGAGGCGAAGGCAATGCTCACGGAGCAAATCTCCATGCGTTTCACGCGGTGTCATGCTTGCAAGTTGCGGCCGATGCAGCTGTGAACACCCATGCGATGCCCCAGACTGCCAACCAATCTGAGGCTAGGACTGGCAAGTATCCTTGGCTACGCATAGGCCAAGCATCAAAACAAGTTGCACTCACAGCCCTGTGAGAATCATCCGCAGCGAGATCCATACAGGAAGTATCGCAAGCTGCTGCCAACAGATGTGGCCGTGATGCACTGGACGAAACCAAGCACAGTCCCCCTTCCTCTTTTAGACAAGCTTCTCCCAGGCTTCACCTTTAGCCATTGGCCTTCCTCGTCCAGCACGCCCCAGACCACGCTGCCCCACCGGACCGATTTCAGGTTCTGGCACGGAGACCGCTGCATATAGCTCTGCTGCTTGTGCATCTGCACTCCTGGCCTGATTCTTGTCCACAAGATCGCGCGCGCTACGGTAGCGCAGTCCAGCACTTCGCGACTTGAGCGCACCTTGGCATACATGGCTCCAGGCAATGTCCATATTTGTCGAGGATTCTCGAAAATGCTCTCTAACGACTCCAACGCCCGCCGCGCGTCTGTTGTCCACCAGGAAGGGCTCCAGCTCGCGCTTTGGCGTGCTTTCGATGGGAACCCCGGCCTTGGTGAAAGGAAGGGCAAAGGGTTCCCGAATCTTTTCCCCAAGCAGCATTGACACATGTTAAAACATGTGAACACCTCGGCACCCGGACCACAGTCAAGCTTTCATCTTGCTTCTGCTTCTGAGCCCAGGCGGCGAACCGCGACATGGCCGGAGTGGTGCAAAATTAAAATTGAACACCAAACCTCTTAGGGAATCCTCAAAGCAGATGGATCACCTGAGAGGGTCAGTTTGGGTGTCACATGCTTTAGGTCCTTGGTTTGAGCGCAAGATGATTTGTGCCTTGGTCGGAAGCACTCCTACGAACATCTACATAACTCTACTTGAGCTCAGAAGGGCGGGCCGTTCTGCGATTCAGAACTTGGGCGGCTGAAAACAGGATTGAAAGCAGATAGATTAGCGAAGTCATGGCGTTCCTGTTGCTTGTTGATCCCTGTTTGGAAAGCGGAGACTTTGCCCAACCTGATTGTCTCGTCGTCGTCCAGCAAGGCTCGTCGGCGCAGGCCGTACACGATCTTACGCTGCGTGTCCATGACCTCAGCTGTCTTATGATGTGCCACATCAGAGGGTCGGGTAGGTCACTGGCGTCAGCTGAGAACTGCATCTGGAATTGAATTTGCTTGCTGCCCTAATTAGGTAAAGGATGGTTCTGTACAAGTGACATGAAACCGCAGCAGGAACAGACGTGCTATGGCCGAAGTATCAGAACTGAGGCATCTGGCATCATCGTACTCGAAGACGTTCTTGCGAACACTGTAAAAATAGTTTTCGACCTGCGTTTGGTCAACTATTCATCCACACAAGCACAACCCAGTTTCAAGTTCCTCTCTTCTTGTCCAGTGCCGCCCATGACTATCTTGCAGAATACATTCCTAAGAATCACTGAGAACGCCCCAAACCCAAGCCAGACCGCACGCACAATTTTCAGGGCAGATGCAACGGTGGGCAGCATCGTGGTGACCTGTCCCAACATTCTGTGACATCGCAACATGAGAGCTGGGTCGACCTCACGTGGCAAGAATCTTGTAGGAGCGGGATGGTATGACAAGGCGAGCATGGCGCATCAGAGTCTGATCTTCCACTCCGTCTCAACACAAAAGCAATAGAGCTTCATCATGCCACGTCCCGAGACATGCAGGCGGCACCTCAGCGGCGACGGCGCAAGCCATCACTGGCTGGAGTCTGTCCCGGCGAGGCCCCTAGGAGAGGGGTGCTCATTGGGCAGCTGTCGGCGCAAGTCAACAGCTGTCACATTCATCCTGCCTCGATTCTAGCTTTCTTTGACCTTGAACCTTCAACATCTTCAACCTCTCGGCTCATTGCAGCAGCTCCTTGACTCACGGCTTCGGGTGGATCCGGCCGTGGTGCCACAGCGCGGGGAGCGAGGTTCCTGACTGTTCGTGCTGTTCGTGGCTTGTACAGGCAGGAGGATCAAGCGCAACTGACAGCCATAGCCAGCTAGCTGGCTTTTCTGCGCTTCATGCAGGACTACTGCGCTCCACCACATGCCCCTGCTCGCATGAAATGTGCGTGAGTAGGACAGCTCGAGTACACTTGGGCCTTACAGGACACAAGACGGCATTCGCCAGCAGTGGCATAAAGAGTCTGGGTACTGAGAGGCTTGGCCTCCTCCACAGATGGGGATGACTTCTTGTCGATGAAATTGATTTTGTCTGCTGACATTGGACGGTTTCTTGAAGGAATCAGGCCCGGAACAGTAACCCAGGAGAAGTGCGGCACCTTCTTGTACCGCCATAAAGCAAGTCGGTTCAGGCCCAAAATGACAAAGAGAATTCTGCATGCGGCTGCAATAATCCTAAGCTTTCCTGTGTTTGCGTCTTGTCATGCATCAGTGTCAAGGCCTGGCTGGACTACGCCTCTTGGAGGCGAACTGGTTTCAATTACTTCCAGTTTGTAAAGCTCCGAGTTGGCGTTTCAGCCATCCAAGCTGAGCTATGGCACATGAAATCTGCAAGTGATTCAAAAGCCACGGCAGCGGATTAAGCACTGCCCTAGGGTTCACGGCATGCTGTGCTGTGGCTACAACCCTTTGTGCCTCCCAATAGCAGATACTTTAATCAGCCGCGCAGCCTGCTGAGCCTAAAATCAGCTCAGCAGTTTGATATTTGGAGACAGTCGGACTCAAGAACAGACACCAGAGATCTCAGCCTTCTTCAGATCCATCATGGCGCTTCGGAATTCTAGTGGCCTACGCATGTCTCGCAAAACCGGGTGATCTGTTGAGTAACCGTCCAAGCATCTTGGGTAGCCCCATCTGCTTATGCAGCCATGAGCTCCACTCGCCCGACCGAGTCCAGCTCAGTCAACTGCAGGGCTACAACTCGAAGAAATCTGACGAGGGGAACCATGAAGCTGGAGCAGGAGCCAGCTGCCTCTCTGAGGCAACCAGGAAGGCTTCGGAGGTGGGTCGTCCACTGAGGCATGGACGATGCACCTGGAAAATGGCGGATGCTCTCCTGGCCGAGCCTCCGGCTCTGCACAGGATGCCACCGTTTCACAGGATTCGAAGTATTTCGATTGTGCGATCCTGATGAGATTATGGAAGTTGCTTGCGCCTGCTCTGATACGATTCCGAACCCCCCAAAAAAAACAAATTGGCTCCGCGGTTTCAGCTGCAAAGTCTGTTGCGGTAGTTATGCTGAGTCTCGACAGTTGACGGATTGACGAGCACCTTGCGCGCTGTGGACAGATACTATCCTGCGGACTTTGTGCTGCAGCTGAGAAGCATCTAACCACTGCATACCACGGTGCCACAGCATGAAGAGTGCTACTGCCACCGAGAGCACTGGCTGAGGGCATGTCGCCCTGAGCTACACCCTAAACCCTAAACCAGGAACCAAATCAAGACAGCGGCCCGGAATGTGAGATTGGCCCAAACGAGATGTCGTTTATCTCTGACTGACTGTTACCCTCGGCACGCTGGCAGCTAACTACGCGCAGGTCCCTAGCGCTTCAAGCTCAGAGCGTGCATTCGCCAGCCTCAGAAGTCATCTGGAAATCATTTGCAATAGCAAGTGCGGGCAACACTTCTGCTGCGGCAAATTGTAGATGTCCCAGAATTATGGCATCACCATGCGCTTGCCAGCAGGCGGCTCGAAACGCGTGTCGCCCTCCACTCCACACCTTGGAAGCGCTGAGAGCTGTGGAGACTGCATGCGTCAGAGTTCACAACAACGAAAGGCAGCTCCAATACTTGGAGTCGCGTTCCTACTTGAGTAGTATGCACGCTGCTGCAAAAGCTTAGCTGTGGCCAAGCTGCACTACAGGGAGGAGTTCCTGGAGCTCTTGCAGCTGTCTCGTCAGATCCTGTCAAAGCACCATGAACTGACTCAGACACCTGGGCAAGTGCGTCCCAGCCTCAATGGTGGGTTCGTCCTGCAGTTTGATGATCCGGTGGTGGATGCCTCACCCAAGCTCCCACTTCAAGACACTGAGGCATGCAGACAGATCGGCGCCACGAAAGCAAGACGCGCCTTGATCTCGGCACCAAACCTCAGTGCGTGCTGCCATTGTGACCTCTGCCCACTCTCCCCGCCACAGCACGATGGAATGCCCTCAGCCTGGTAACAACCACAGAAGCCTTCCCGTGGCCCAAACTGCCTCTTATGCTGAGGCCGGGGCCAGATCTGTTGCAGCCTCGGCCTCAACAAGCAAACTAAATTCAAAGCCTGTTTGCATGAAACTTCGGAGGCAGCTCTGAAAGAAAAGCTCAGCTGCAGCACGCGCTAAATTATGACTGCTGCTTCAACATGCTGTGATATCATGCGCATTCGTGAATGCACGGTGATGGCGAGAAAAAAATGATGTGAAGTCAAGACAGCCACAGCAGCTGCCGCTTCAACACAAAACATGTTGCCCCCGGGATGTTCCCCTAGAGCGCGATCCTGTTGGCCACCACAGACCTCTTCCTCCTGGACTCTAAGCGTTCCGAGCAAACTGAATTGGAAATAGCAATCAAAGCCCTGTCACGAGAGTTCATGCGAGGGAATGGTCAACGCGGGTCTCCAGAAAATGAAGCACCCAGGGTCGGTACGCAACACATAGACAAGAGGCAGCTGTATCTGATTGTCTCTCCTTCTACTGCGCACCTCGACATGGGAGTCGCCCACGGAGACGAAGACAACATCGGAATCAGCCCGGCCTTCCGGCTTGAGGGCATTGGGCCGAAGCTCCCAGCGAAACAACGCCGATGGACTGATGGTGCCCTAGGTTCTTTGCATCCCTGATGGGATGCTGCTCCAACTTGTCAAGGCCTGGACAACTCTAAAGTGTCGGGATCGGGTTCTTTGCTACACAATCCCAGATCCGAAGAAGCCGCGCCTGCCAGTTGCTTCAAAGCCTCTGCAGCTTCCAGACAGCAACTTGCGCTTCTTGGCCAGAAAGAAAAGACACTGAAGAAGGCTACGGGGCGTTTGTTGACAGTCTCTCATCCCATGCTCCCATATGCTCTCATCCTTCGTATGCTTAGCGTGGTTATGACTGGAAGATAGCTGACCAAACCCAGAACCCTTTACAGGCCTGGCCCATGGCCTTCCGTTTGCATTGAACATACAGGTCCACTCCAGGCTCCTGCACCAACCGCTACTCAGCTACTTCTCTTGGAAGATGCAAAAAAGGCTCACTGAGGCTGGATCCTGGCCTGCGATGCTGACATCATCCGGTACTTGTCCAACACCTGCATCAGCAGTAACAAATCCACAAGAACAAACCAAGTCATTTGTGCAAAAGTGTATGTGCTCTCAACAAGGAAATGTCCTTGGCTCATGTGTGAATCCAACAGAAGGCTGGAGACGGTGCCTCTCTCGCGTACACGATGGGAATGTCCAACTCATGAAACAACTTCTCCCAGTTAACGCCTTGAAGAATATCAGGAAGGCTCCACTTCTGCAACAAGAAGCTGCTTAAGCACTGCAAAAAGCTAAACTGTACTGACTACATCTCACTGCTTCCAATATCTCAGCATGCAGTTCCTCTAGGCTTCAAACTGGGCATATATCTCTTGGCAGAGATCTGGAGCCACGGTCGCCTTAGTCGTTTGCAGGAGCCATTGTAGGGATCCACTTCCACACCCTCACGGAAGTAGGTACCCCAAGGATGCACACGGTACACTGTAATGATACAAGGGTTCCATGCTTCACTTTTTCTGATTCGAAAAGGATTGTTGTGAGCTGAGCTGGCACGTGGCTATATGCTGTTTTTTATAGGGCTTATATTGGGGTATACATTGGGATATTGGAAAATAAAGTGGACACTACAGGAATTATAGGGGTTGAGGGCTGCCTTCTTTCCAAGATCCTGCCAAGAAGCGCGGCGAGCGTGACCTGAAGGTACCCAGACCACACGTGTCATGTTTCCCCTGTCACACAGCAAGGCTTTTCAGCAACAAGGCCTGCAGATCAGTAACGGAATCATTGTTCCTTGATTTGTAGAAATGGGCTATTTCTGGAATACCCGTTTCCGTGAGCCAGCTGGGTTTTCCGTTCATGTATACTACTACTGCCTAAATGCAGGCGGTGAGCAAGCGGTTGTTGTTACCATTTGTTGTCTCTCCTGTGGGTGCACAGGCTTCAGCTTACAGGGCTGATCTCCAATAATTCTAACTGTAGCTCAATACAGGGGCGAACAGCCCATCTGGGCCACTAGACAAACTTGACTGACCGCAATAGATCATGCGGCGCGGCCGGAAGGCTACATGCAATGTCTCCTGGGTTGTGGAGGATCTTGTATCAAAGTCCCCATAATATGGATAGATACACAATAAGGTTCCCTTACAATGGTAACTTAGTTCAACTTCCTCCATGACAACTTAGCCTAAATCCCTAAGCCTCTCAACCTTGAGTACTGCCCCCCGTCAGTAACAGTTGGACAATAATTATAATATGGTTATATATAGCCCTTAATAGGACCCCTAATATAGACTGTTACTGGGTGGGGGCCATACCCAATCTCAACCCTGATTCAGCTGCCAAGGAGCAATTCCCACGCGGCCGATCGAGGCGGCGAGCCGCAAGATATCAGTCACAAGCTGAGCGTGGGCCTCCAGGGCCTTGAGTGAAAATGGGTAAACTTGCTTGAATTTGGGTCCAAACCCTGAACCCTTAGCCCTGAACCCTAAACCCTACACATCCCTACACTGTAGGGTTTAGGGTTTAGGGGGGTTGATGTGCTGCTTCCTACTTGGGGGGATGGTTCCATAAACACTCCCAAACAATGGCCCCCGAGTTTGGAAATATGGCGCCCTGTAAACCAAGCAATAATCCCAGTCGCCATTTCATGTTCCATGTTCTTGTCCATTTCATTCTCCATTTGCGAGGTAATTAAAACAGATCTCTTGGGTACTGCCCCCATAGTGTTACAGTTGGATAACATTGATACTATAACTGTAAATTTATGTAGCCCTCGATATGGCCTGACGTAGACTGCTACAGGGTGGGGGCAGTACCCAAGAGAGTAGTGTTTTTTCCCGAATGCGTAGCAGAAGGGTTCCCGTTTTAAGGTTGGGGTCCAGGGGTCCAGGAGGCGACGCGAGGTCGTTGCGTTTAAGTCCGCCAAGCGTTCGCAAGCGTCCGCAAGCGTCCGCAAGCGTTCGCAAGCGTTCGCAAGCGTCCGCGAGCGTCCGCGAGTGTCGGAGAGTGTCGCGCATCGTTGGGAGTCGCAAATCGTCGCGAAACGCAGAACTG